AAGAAAGAAAGAAAGAAAGAAAGAAAGAGAAAATGAGAGAAAGAAAGAAAGAAAGAAAGAAAGACTTTCACATTTGACATCATACTGATCCAGAGTTTCCATCACAAATCTATATTTACATTTTGTGGCCTATTCCAAGTATTCTCAACTGAGTCACTAAAACTTTTAACTCTGCTATGACAATGTAGAAAATTCTGTAAGAATCTACACTGTGTATTCCTGTACCATAGAATGGGTGGTTTCCAATTGTTGGGAACCTTTTCCCATGTTCTCAATACTTTCTCCTCCCTTCTGAAATTAAAACATCATGGTTTTTTGTCACAATTTCAGAAGATTGAACATGAACACAGAACAGCTTTTTGTGGCTGCAAACACACACAATGAGACATGTGCTGAATGCTAATATATGCACTCCCCCATTGGTCAAATCATGAATCCTTTGTGTGACAAGGATGACAACAGTGAGAACAGTTGTGTGGGCTGTATGAAAATATTTCTGAAGCCTTTGTGGGGAAATGAAACTAGTAATTGTGTGGCTACACCATCTAAATAGATAGCAATCGGCAATTTGTATCAGTAAAGTCATATTGCGTCAATTGAGTTATAAAAGTGCTTTCATCTGCCCACAAACTGGATCCTTGGGTGAAATTTTATATGCCTTAGTGACTGCAACTTATGCAACCAAAGATGATTTTGCTTCAATAGTTACTTCTGTGCTCACTGACAGTTTTACATCCACATTAAGTGCAAATGTGAGATTTTTTTAAAAAATGCTTCAATATAAGCTCTCTTGAAAGAACTGGCTTCTGAGCAGGCAAAGGGTCTATTAATGCCCAAACTGATAGATGTTAACCCCACAGACATTAGTTTCTACCCCACAATATTGGCAACCATGTTATTCAAAGCCAGAAAAGTACCTTGAGCAGCTCAGTTCCCCCAGATACCTCAGGGCATTTAAACTCATCCAATTTAATATTCTTCCTTCAGGAGTAGTAAAAGTCAGATTCAAAAATATCTCTTAAAGTAATAGAAGCTGTCGTGGCTCAGATGGCAATGAAACACTCCATCCTTATACTTTTTATAAAGATAATCATAACAAGATGTTGTCCCTGATTAGGAAAACGCCTGATGTCCTGAAGATATGTATATTAATACTTATGAACAACCAAGAATGAAATATTATACACAAATATTCTCCTCTGTAAGTTCATCTGGTAATTTATAGTCAGGTAGTTTATGGCTGTGCGCTTGTACTAGATATTATGCGAAGACTCCTGCTCAGGGACTCTTATTGTAACTATGTGTGCCTTTCAGCTATTTCCATGAATTTTGGTTTGTAAATGTAACATTCTGTCTATTTACGGGTATGCGACTATGAATTTCTTCTATGGATACTTGGAATAGCTAAATGTGAGGAATATTTAATCTAACATTCTATAAAAAATTTCAGCATTTATATCTATGTGTATACAACTAAAGAAAATTAGGACTTTTCTATTCTTCCTGTCAACAATGGAAGGGAATGATTTTTACTATCCTTTTCTCCCTCGTGTGTGCTCTGGGGGATAAATCTATTTTGATTCATGAATTCCTTTGCAAATTGCCTACCTGATACATTTGCATTAAAGTACAAATTAAATATATTCCATTCCTGCCTCTGTTTGGGTTATGCATTTGTCCAATTTTAGTTCATAAACATACTGCCCAACTCTTATGACAGGTAGGTCTACATTTCAAGAAGGTTATGAAAAAAAAACATCAGACTCAAAGGAATATAAAACATGCATGAGATTCTTATTCTCGTTTATTTCATTTCTATGTCGATCCTTTTCTTCTAAAGGAAATTTGAGATTATTATGAAAAGATAGAGGAAGATGTGATGCTTGCTGTCTTAGAATAGCTATAATCAGTTTCTTTCGGAAAAGGATGTGTGGTTCTAAAGAGTGAATCTGAAATACACTCCACAGCCAGTTTAAACAATTATATTTTTGTCCTTAGTAGGACATACATCAGAAACTGCAAATATATATTTGTGTTTATAAGTTCTCCAATAAAGTGACAGAGAAATCACTGACAAGTGGTTACTCTAGTCAGATATACTGTATTAATTCAAGTGGGATTCCAGAGTGAATTTCAACATTCAAGATGACTGATCTTCTTCCTTTCCTAATATATAACATTTTCTCCCAAAAAGAGGTTTCACTTATCAACCTGATTTTTGGTGATCAGTGAATTATTTGTTCAAATAGTTTGTTCTTGCATTCATATTAGCAACAATAGTAATTTGAGAATCAGGTAATTGAAGAAAATTTAGTCATATAATAATTATAGCAGTTTCACAACATGCATGCTTCCTTAATGAATTTTAATTCTTAAGATGCATCTTATTCCAATTTAAGTTTTAATTTAGACATTATAACATGCCCTCTATTGGGATGGTGTTACATTTTTTAAAATGGCCATCTGAGGGCCAAGTGAAGAAGCATCTCATGTAGAATGGCTACATTTGAAAGATAATTTATAACTCAATTCTCATAGCATCCACATGGGGGCAAAGACAGAGTCAGATTGATTAAAGCAGTCTTAATCTCACAATTTCACACTTAGAATTCAAATAAATTTATCCTATTACACTGATATCTTCCTTATGAATATAGTATGTCAAGGCAAGGGGGATGGAGCAGGGCTACAGCATGTCCTCTTAAATGTGTAGTGCATTTTTATCATTCACAGGACATTCGGGAGAAGAACAATAAAAGTTTGACTGCGTCTCTGGTATTTCTCTGGTGTGGCCATCATTTTTTAAGCCTAGAAATATTATTTATATTTAAAGTTTATCACTTGTGCTTATGATGTAGCATCTTTCCCAAAAAGTATTTCAGGGAAAATGATAGCCTTTTGATATGCATCTACCACTAACAATCACAAATAATAGCAACAGCAACATTCTTGGGACAAATGGGATTTTAACCAGCTTCCTTCAAGGCAATTCTTTCTTTAAAGAAGAATTAATCATTTCCCATACCCAGAAAATCACCTAGCCTAGTGAATAGAAATAACTAGGAGAATTTGAGATTAATTTCCCTTTCAAGTTTTTAAAAATTGAGTAATTTTTGCTTTTTATTGACTTTAATCCTGTAAACCATCCAAGATACTTTGGTAAGTGGACTCTCTTAAAATCTCCTAAATAAACATGAAAGAATACCCTTTAAATTTAATTGGAGACTACAGATCAAAAGGAACCCTACATAGCATTATAAGACAACCCATTTTTTATTATGCTAAATCTGTTTGATAGTTTAATGTGCTTTGATGTACTCCAAATATGTTGGACTGGACTCCCATTCAGCCTAATTGGGGAAGGCTAGTAACTGACGTGAAAAATCTGCTGTGTTTGTAGCATCATATACCCTCAAACTGATCATACAGTTATTTTTTTGACTAGACTTTACTTTGCTTTACTTTAAACTTCCATGTAGTCTACTTTCTTTTCAACAGTGTCTAACCAGTAACTATCAATTTATAATTACTTTCTTTCTTTTAAGTTTTAACCACTTATCGATGAGTAGACTTGCCCTTTATTCCATTAATTTCCTTAACAATGTTTGAAACTTTGTGAAAGACATAGTTGGTTTGGCTTCATTAAGCCAACTGTGTCTTTTTCAAGGATTGCCAAATTGTGGAATTTCAGGAAAATAATATTTGCTCAATCATATGCTTGGGGATACTCTGAATTAATTAATATGAAGTCAATATTTTCTATTTTTTAAAGGAGGTTATTACCATGTTTCCCCACAAATAAGACCTCCTCAGATAATAAGCCCAAACGGACATTTGAGTGCATGCACTAAAATAAGCCCTCTCCCAAAATATTGCAACACAGCAGCCGCCATGAGATGACCACGCTCCCACCTCCTACACCCCAAAAATAATAAGACCTCCCTGAAAATAAGTCCAGGTGCTTATTTTGGGGTCAAAAGAAAATAACACCCAGTCTTATTTTCGGGGAAACACAGTATTTATACATTATATTGCTATAATTATAAACTTTGTTAGAAGAATAGTCATGCTTAAACTTCAGCTTTCCCTAATTGACTGCTATCAGAGAGATAAAAAGCAATTTTGTGGATTCTTTTATTTGTTCAATATTGGCATGATACTGGTTAATTTGGCCATCTTATCATACAGAAATTAATATACATTACCTTTTTCTGGAATTTTTCATTTGATTTATTTAAGAACCACCATAATCCAAAACATGCAAATAAGGCATGTTTAAGTGTGGTGGCAAAATCCAGCATTTTTAGATGCCATGATTATATGACTTGAGTCCTACATGAAGACAAGGAAAACAGCAAAGACAAGGTTCTGTCTAGTCTAAAAATATTCCAATCATACAACTTTCATCTGTGTATTTTCTGATACTAAATAGAGTGAAACAGAGGCTTTGGATACCCAAGATTTCATTTACAGAGCTTTAAATTACTAAGTAGCTAGGTTCATATAGCATGAAAAAAATTGGTTGGTTATGACTTAGTGCAACCAAGCCACCTGTGCCTTCATTATCAAGCCCATAGTTAAGGAAACACGGTTTTAATAAGTCGTGTGAACCCTGTCCCTGAATTGCTAAAGAAGAGTCAAACAAGTCATTAGTGGAACTAACCTTTTCTACACTATTATTTTGTTCTAGCAATTGTAATTCAAAAAAAGATTATTGTTATGAAATGGTCTGAATGTTTCCCTTACTGTTTTAAATCAACAGCGCCTTCTTAAAAATGTCTTGTAAAAAGTTTTTTTTTTCCTGTTTCTTTTTTCCCCCCTCTAAGTTTTGTCCACACTATAATTATGTGAAATCAATGTCACTTAATCATTGGCTTCAGCCACAACCAGATTGCATCATTTCCTCCCTTTAAGATTGTAGCACAATACCCGTGAAGGGAATACTTAATAATAGAGCATCTTGAAACAGATACATACAATTACCCATTGATAGGAGGTACCTGTAAATGATACATGCGGTGTTCTGGCAAGTGCTGCAGTTGTTGAGATCTTGGCCAGTGCGATAGAAGTTCCGTCTGCAATAAACAATAGCTGCTATGATTTATTTATCAAACCAGCAACTTTGCATTTATTTCCTGGGTGTCCGATGCTCATTTTCTTCTACAAATATTAAATTTATTACAATAATTTTGGTTTTAGTTTGGCAAAGATTAATTGCAAGTGTAATTTTGGGGGGGAATAAGCTCCCAAAAGTAACTGGGGTATCCTTCCAAGAAAATCTGCATTGGATTTTGTTATCATTTACCAGGAAATTGGATTCAGATGGTCACTTTCATTGACATGGAAGAAGTCTCAACCTACTCCTAAAATACATTTGATGGAGAAGAGCTAGGCATAAACCAATAATACATTATTATTTTTTATACTACAGGTAGTCCTCAACTTACAACACTTCATTTAGTGACCGTTTGAAGATACAATAGCACTGAAAAAAGTGACTTATGCCTGTTTTTCACACTTACGACCATTGCAGCATTCCATGGTCATGTGATCAAAATTTAGAGGCTTGTCAACTGACCCATATTTATGATGGTTGCAGTGTCCCAAGGTCATGTGATCATCTTTTATGACCTTTTGACAACCAAAATCCATGGGGGAAAGCCATATTCAGTTTAACAACTGTGTTACTAACTTAACAACTGCAGTGATTCACTTAACCGCTGTGGAAAGATAGATTGTAAAATGGAGCAAAATTCATGTAACAACTGTCTTGCTTAGCAACATAAATGTTGAGCTCAATTGTGGTCGTAAGTCGAGGACTACCCATAATAACTAGAATAAAGTGCGGCTAATATGCAATTGTCATCTTTTGGTAACTTCTTTTGTTAGGTTTTTACAGGAACACTTGAGATGCTTCAAGCATAAATACAATTATTTACTAATTTGTCTATTATTCATTCATGCTCATCAAATGATTTAGAGTGGCTGCTTTGCTTTGAGAAGTGACTGTTTCTCTGAAGGTATTTGTTTAGCACAACTCTCAGTAGACATTGTGACTGTGAATGTCTGCATATATGTCGGGCTAAAAATAAGCTCTTGAAATTTATATGAAGCACAAATTAATAGTGACAATTCCAAAAAAACACTTAGAGGGATGCTAAAAATCTATGGGTTTCTTCTGTTTATGCATTTACTGCATCCTTATCTGCATCATAATCTTCCCAATTCATACAATTTTTATTTTGAAACATGAATAAATATCTAAAAAATTTCCAAGATGGCACATGGTTACCAAATATTTTTATTTCAGTAATATATTTGCTGCTAGTGGACCATATTATTGCAATCCAGTTCTAGTGGACATAAATTTAGGGAATAATCAAGGCTGAGCTTGGCACACATCCATCAAGATCAAGAATTATAGCAATAACAATAGTACTTAGACTTATATACCACTTCACAGTGCTTTACAGCCCTCTCTAAGTGATTTACAGAATAAGCATATTGCCTCCAACATCTGGGTCCTCATTTTACCAACCTTGGAATGATGGAAGGATGAGTCAACCTTGAGCCTGATGAGGCTCAAACTGCCAAACTGCAGGCAGCCGGCAGTCAGCAGAAGTACCTTACAGTACTGCATTCTAACCACTGCACCACCATGCTTCATCATCACGGGAGAAAGGCAGTAACCTTGGACCTCTTTACAAAGAAATGACTTCCATGTGAGACGTTAGTGGGATTCCTGGCCTGAAGAATAATCATTAGCCAGAGTTGTTGACTGATTATTCAGCCTCATATGAATTCCTGACAGCTTTCTGAGGAATTCATCTTACTCTTTTTCTAATATAATGATTTTGTGCTACCATAAAAGTTTTCAAGAAACTGAAGCATTGAACTTGGCTGTTTGTGATTACTGAACATGTATGCATTGTTTTCCTTTTGACAAAGCAGAGGTTGTCTGACATTGCCTTCTGAGTTTTTCCAAATTAGTGTTGGAGACTAATTTAAGACTAATTTAAGTCCTTAATGAACTTCTGTCTGTATGCTAACTAAATTTGATCCTGCTTCATTTTTTGTACATTGGCTAAGTTCTGCTGGTCTTCTTGTAATGCTTTTGGATTACACTGCTATAACATTGTTAAAAAGACTCCAAGAGGATGTATGTGTGTCTGTGTGCGTGTGAGACAAACACATGCCTTTGAATCAATGTTGACTGGCAGCAACTGGCTGAACTAGTGTCTGTACTTTTCTGGGCAAGATTTCAGAAATAATTTGCCACTACCTGCTTCCTAGGGCTGAGAGAAGGTCATTGGTCCAACCTCGGCCAACTAGTTTTGTAACTAAGGCAGGCAGAACTAGAAGTCATAGTCTCCTGATTTCTAGTCTCCCAGTTTCTAGTTCTACACTGAATACCTAAGAACCCAGATTGTTCGGGGCAATATGCTGATTGTAAATCACTTAGAGAGGGCTATAAAAGCACCATGAAGCAGTATGTAAATCTAATTGCTATTGCTAATTAAGGAAGCAGAAATCTATAGCATTATAAGACAAANCCTTCTTTTAGGGGGAGAAAAAGTGTATCTTGTACTCCAAAAAATAGGGTAACTTATCCATGTTTAATTCTGCCTGGGGATGAACATCACCGGTCAAAGCTGATGTGCAATTTGGCATCATCTTGGACTCATGGCTCTTTTACTTTTTTAATCCAGTACCAATAGCTTTTGTTAGCTATTTTTTTCTTGTCTTTTTAGTATATGATTGCATAATAGATAAATAAATTCAGAGTTAATACAGTGTTTTTGATTTTATTACTTCCAGTTCACTTATCTCACTTTGGTGGTAAGTGCTTGGCTCATTTAGTAGTAATGCAAGGTTCATAACATCCTGCATTTTTATGCAACTGATTTTGATTTTCTTCCAATGTCTTGTATATTCAACCCCTGAGTTTATTATAATTACTGGTATTTGCTGCTCATTTTAACCCAACATATTTTCTTCCAAGATGTTTATGTCTCAGCATAGACATTTAATGCAGTGTTTTGATATATTTTTGTTTCACTGCATATATTTTATTTGCTTCCTAAATTTTGAGCTATTTTCTTGCAGATGGCTTGCATGACATCCATTGTTTACTTTCAACCAGGAGTTAACTGTGATAGCTTTCAACTTCAAAGCTTTCCTTTCACCTTTAGGATTATATCATTTAGGTTCAGACCATTATCAACAACCTCACTTTATCTGCGTCTTTCTATTTCAATATATTTTTTTCTCTTAAATAAATGCCTTTCATTTTTCTTTCTCTAAAAGGTTTTATTTAGTGATGGTTCCTCTACAACAGGGGTGTCAAACTCGATTTCATTGATAGCTGCATGAGTGTTTGACTTCAGAGAGCCGGGAGTGATGGTGGCTGGGGGTAGGCATGGTTATGGTGGGTGTAGCTGGGATCGGCGTGGCCATAGTGGGGCATTTAACACAGGCTCAAGATGCACTTTTTTCTCTTCTCTTCTTTCTTTGCACAGTTCTTTACTATAACCATTTTCCTATCTCTTCTACCAACTATTACTGGCAAACATTTACACTTATTCTTCATACTCCACTAAACTTTTTATTTCTAAATTTATATCCCATTGTTTAATAGTAAATTGCTTTTCCAGGCAGAAAACTTATTTATACAATTGTATTTTTATTATTCATTTCTGAAGAGATAGATGGAAGTATTCTTCT